AAAAAACAAAAAACAAACCACAACCCAAACCCCAAAACATGTGCTTTGTTAAAATATGCTGTGAGCTCCAGGATGTGTTTGCATCACTCTAGAATTTCTCCTGTGGTTTCATTAAGTATATTTTAGGACAGCCATGTCCAAGCCCTCTGTGCCTATTAGTAATCCTCTCTAGCCACATTTCCACACTTCACCCTTTAAAGATTTTTGGTTTTCTTCACTAGAATTAGTTTGCTATAAATGTAATGTTACTTACCCCATCAGAGCTTGAATGGTTAACTCTTCTGAGCTTCTAAGAGCAACTAAAGATTTGCACATTTACTGACTGGCTACATTGATGCCTTCCCTTAAAAGTTATAAAACAGTAAACTTTATAAGCCCCAGTTCCGGCTATATGACATTTGGGTGCCAAATGAATAGGGTTTTGTCTATGAATTAGATCGTAAAATCATCCATAGCACAGACAGATAGGCTCACTGGCTATAAAAAGTCACGTGGTGCCATTAAAGTAAGTTTTATGGTTTTGGGGAGTTGACATCCAACATTATATACCACATAACATATAATCTCACTGACGCTGGACTTCATTTGACTCTTTTGCAGGCTACGTGTGCCTCCTGGCCATTCAAATTGTCAGGTTTAGGGACAGAAGTACCCAAACCACAAGTTCTCAGTACTATGTGAAAAATGGCTCCTTGCAAGTCAAAGGTAAGTTTCGTGCACAAGTTCCTTAAAGTTTATTTGTACAGTGGGGAAGCCGAGGCTCCTGCTCGCTCTCGCTGCCTCTCGCGTCTTTCTCTTTCTCTTTCTCTTTCCCTTCCTCTCCGCCTGGAGGTTTTCAGGACGGTCCCACCGAGCCCGAGAGGCAGGATCAAGCACTAATGATCCAGGTTGTGCTGCAAATACCTCCCCCCTATCTCTTCACTCGCAGCAGCTAGCTCTCTATTTTAACGATCAAATCAAAGTAAACCACAATAAGCGACTTTGGCAGAGATGGATTCTGGGGCCTAGCTTTAATCACTTTGACTACCGCAGAAGATAATTACTTCCTTTGCTCCAATAGACTCTCCAAGTTTGGAGAGGTTTTGTTTAGCAAAGAGTAGTTACTGCAGGCGATTAAAAAAAAGGGGGAACAAAATAGATTGAGCTACATATTATCTAGGCAGTATCTTATGTAGGCATGATAGAGTTGGAGGCGTGATGATATGGTAATAATCTTTGGATTGGTGAAATATGTTGCACATCAGAGCCAGTATTAAAATGGCACAGAGTGTACTGGAGTGCTTAGATACATATTTTTTGCATTGGGTTGTGCAGAAAGCTTTAGCTATGTGTATATGTACATCTGCGAGTGCATAGTGTGTTTTGGGGATGTGCATTTATAACGTTGCTATAACTTTTTCCTGATTCTATAAGTAACTGCATAAATATAAATGTATTTAAATTATATGCATGTGTGCCTGCATGTACAAATCAGTTTGTACCTCTGTCTAAAACCGTGCAGATGCGTATATGTGTCTAATATTGGTCTATTCATGTACACAAAGGGTGTGTACGTGTGTACACATATATATGTTCCTGTGACTTCCTTTTTTTTTTTTTTTTTTTTTTTTTTTTTTTTTTTTTTTTTTTTTTTTTTTTTTTTTTTTAAGCGAACCAATTGACTGTAACTTGTAGCATTAATACAAGAGACTACAGGTCATTAGAGTGCTGCAAATTATGAAATACGGGCTTGGTTTATTGAAGATTGTAAATATCCCCCTAGCTCTGCTCTCTCCCTTTCTGCCTTATATTGCTGGCTGCCATTGTGGGGTAGGCCCCAGCTGCGTGTTTACTTCAACATTCTTTTTATTTAAGTGGACTGTTCTCACTAGAGTGTGATTACTCAGCAATAAACTTTATGGCCGGATTTAACTTCAGTCTTTGAATTTCCAGGACTTGAATGAAAGGGTGAAAGGAACTCTCTCTGGGTAACATTAAGGCCTGATCCTTATCCTCAGAGCTGTTACTTTGGCGAGTGATCTTGGGGTTATAAACAGACTAGTCAGGATTGCCTATAATCTATCCGTCTATCTATCTATCTATCTATCTATCTATCTATCTATCTATCTATCTATCTATCTATCTACCTATCTATCTACCTACCTACCTATCTATCTATCTGTCCAAACTAGCTGTGGGTATCTCTTTCTCTGCACAGGTTTGGAGTAACATTGATTCAGCAGATTGCATTGTTTTCTTTTATGAGTCATAAAGTTGGGTTTGTAAAAGAATGGAATGGTTTGATGTGAGAGATGGGCTTTGTTTTATTTCACCAGTACTGTGCCATTTGAATGCTGTGGTTTAGGCTGGTTTGGCTACTGTGAGCAAAAATGGGAGAAAGGCACAGGGTTTTAGGAGGTTGAGGTTGTCTTGTACCTCTGCAAGGTCTGCATATTGCTGACTGATTCTTATTTTTATGTGTCTTTAACTTTAAATAAATGGTAGTATCTAAGGAAGGTTCTTCCCAAAGAGCTCAGCTTTAAAAATATTTAATATTTAAAGTCAACCCTTGCAGAAGATAAAGTCTGATGCCTTTGTGTCTGTCGATCCTTCCTATCAGCACTAAACAAACACATCTGCATATATTTCATATTGAAAAAAGTGAGAAAGGCTTTTAAAAAGCATATCCAAATGCACATTTGAAAATCATTTCCTTATAAACAGCTGCAGATTTTATAGTACTCTAGTTGACACATTTTTGTCAATAGGGATATCAGAAAGTTGTATATGATAGGCATGTATTATATGATACTATATGCCATAAAATTTTATAGTTTGAGACAAGGCATGAAAAACCCTTAGAAGTTTGGTCTTCATTTATATATAGGTCCTTTTCCAAGGAAAACCCTTTGCTTGTAGAAAGGAATTGTACTAAATGCAAACAGCTCATGATTACTCCGTATTTAACAACACCGCGCTATTTGAATTAACTGGCTAATATACAAGCACGCATGGACACCCGTTGGACTAATATTTTAGGATCCTGGATATCATATCGGATCATAATTTTTCATTGCTTAGAGTGAAAAGATTTACTACTGTGTATTTTCCACATTTTTGTATGTGGCTCCTGGACCATATCCCACACAAAACAATGTACAGTCGTTCAAGAGCTGGGGAAAAGAAAAAATATCCCTAAGTCCAGAAGCATATAAACTGCAAGAAACACTAGAAACAAAAAAAAAAAGTTAGCTAGAAATTACAACTTCACCTTGTTTCTGGCCCTGCCTTGTCTTAAGCATCACAGTTGAAACCATTCGAACACAGAAATGCATTAAGATTTCCTAGTACGTTTTGAAATTTGAAATTCAAACGAGCCCAGACTGCCGAACTCTGCGAGAATAGTCGCAGGTCCGAATTGTTTTCCGAGGGAAAATGTCATGGGAAACTGTCCCTGGCAATCATGAGAGAGGTTTTATCAGCACACGTTATTTTTCTGATGAGTTTGGGGAATTAGTAAGTGCAAGTTTTTTCTATTTTACAAATGGCAAGTTGCGCTCTGCGTTTTGAAATACAGTTTACTTAATCCTTTGAAAGAAATACTTGCATGTAGCGTCTCATGCCTAAGTGTAAAACCAATTAAAGATTAGGCACCTCTCTTAATGTGTGGAACTGGTGACTTTGCGAGACTTAACTTTCTCTAAACCAGGAATGTAACAATCCAATGGAAAGTCATCCCCGTAAATTACAGCTCTGTAGCCTTGTCTAAATCATGGAAATGTCCCAATTTCAGAACAGGGAAAATATTATTCTGCCATTTCCTTACATTTAATATGTGTGTATCTGTGTAAAGGTGACAATAGAGGAGTTTTCAAATTGCTCCATGGGAAATTGAATAGAACTGATCATGGGGGCGGGGGGGATCAGGAGATTTCGATTTCTAATGCTGAATACGGGAGCAATGCATTTTCCCTCCCCGTAAATATAGATTTGACGCATTTAATGCAGACACAAGTAAATATCCTGACCAAGTTAAGATGTCGTTTGCTTTCTTAGTCCTTTCCCCTTCTGCCCTCAAAATCTCCCCGATTTGAAGCTAGGGTTACTGGCTAGAGCAGAAAACCACAGTTCCCACAGTCTTCTGGTCATCTTTGAAAATATTATGCCTTTCAAATTAAAGCATCTTCACTAATGTCTCTCTGTAAGGCAAATACTCATGGACCACCCCGGTCACATGTTCCTGTAGCTATGCGCACAAACAATTTCAAATCTGACACAGATATCGTGTAAAATTTGCCTGGATTTTTCCTTAAAACATGCAAAAGGAATCTTTTCTATATCCCCTCCCCCCAAAAAATGTCTTTTCAATAATAATATTTGCTATGAAGGTTATTGGGTAATTATTGCAATTTTGTGGAACAGTCCTTGCTTGAGGTGAAGTCTGTCTCCGGATAATAAATGGCAGCCCGTGCAGTTCACTGCCAGGTTAAGTAAATGCAGAAAAGATAAATCTGCACACCCTAGGAATCACCAGCAGAGCTCGCTTTAGACCAAGTTCACAGTCAACTCGTTTGCCTAGACAAGGCTTCGCAAACAATTAGACTTGTTTCTTTATGTTTAAATCAAGGAGAAATGACTAAAACGCTTCAGCAGAGAGCTGCAGCTTCTCCCCCAAAGCTCGTCGCTCCATTCCTTCCAACCTCACGCCCAGAACTTACCCAGCATTTCACCTGCAATTGTAACCATATAGCGCCTTTGAGTAACAGGCTTTCCTCCAACGCTGCCGAAAGGCTGTGCAAACTGATCTAACAGCATTTTACAAAGCTGAGAGATTAAGGAAAAGAAAAAAAAAAATTAAAAATGCAAAAGTATCCGATTTCTCAGCAACAAGGAAAAAAAAAAGGCAACAACAAAAAAGAGCGCCCTTAGAAAGCTGGGGGAAACAAGCAGAAGTATTGAAACAAACAGTGCGAGTCTCTTACTCCTAAAAGAAGCTGCATAGCTTTTGTATATCTTTGTGGTTAAGGGCGTTACAACTGCAGGTCAAAAAGTTGAGGGTCAAAAGTTTACGTTTTGCACCACTCTTAGTCATTCGCCCAGACAGAGTTTGATGTCAATGTTATAGCCGAGATCTTGACTATCAGCACAAAAGATAAAATAGCTTTGAGTTACGTGTGTATCACAGTATGGACTCCAGGTGAACCCTACTGGCTGAATGACCTCAATTACCAAGGAAAGGATAGAAAATTCCTCTTTTCAAGAGTAATACACGTTGTATTTCATCTTGAATTATCAGCCACTTCTGTGTCTGAATATCTCGGGTTCAGCCGCGGCAGGTAAACACGCGTGTTACCCCCGCAGAAGCCACAGATGTTGACTCCTCCAAAAGTCAGGTAGCAAAATGCCTCACCCTTGTTTATTATATAATAACCTGCTCTAAGAGGTTTAATGTTAAGCCTTCTCACTTTGCAAAATGGCAGGAAGATAAGATAGGAGCGAAGCTATTAACGCGTGTATCGATTCTAGCCGCGTCTTTGTTTTTGCTCTCATTTCTGTAGCGACCGCTAAACTGTGCTTAAACAGGACATGCCGGAGATAATACGGGCTATATGTTTGGTCCGAAGGAGCTCGTTTAAAATGCGGAGCGGTAGAGCCGTGTTGCGATACCCATGGAAAATATTACGGAGAAGCTGGCTCCCTGCGCCTCTCCGTGATTTGGAGGGT